GATTTCGTCTTGCGCGCGCGAATGTCCACTTTACCTTATTTTTTGCAAGGGATTCTTGAAGTTTGGATATGTTAGAACAAGAAATTTCATTTTATAGTGTTTTTTTGCAAGGGAAAGCGGATTACAACAAAACAACCGAATCTGGATCACATCGTTTTACCTGAGGCTTCCTCACGAAAATGATGAAAATGTGGCTGCGGCCTAGGCGCGGCGAGGGGGGCGTGCACCAGGGGGCCCAACAATAATTATTCTTTAGAATAATATTCAACAACAACAGCAACAACACCAACAACAACAACAACAACAACAACAACAACAACAACAACAACAACACAGAACAACAAAAACAACAACAACAACACCACCAACAACAACAATATGTTCAAGACTGTTCGCCCTTATATGCTCGAGTGTCCAATCACGCGTATTTCCCAAACCCTCGATACCCGCCCTCTTCGTCTTCGATCGAACCCCTTTTGGGGGTATACCTTTCTTCCCTGCAGGCCAGGCCCCGGCAAGCGGCGGGGCAGCCGCGGACCGTCGGCCTGGCCAGCGGCAGCGCTGATCGGCGGGGAAGCCGCGGACCGTCGACCCGACCCCAAAAGGGACGGGCAGGGGACCGGCCACGACGACGACGACGACGACGACGACGACGACGACGACGACGTCGAAGACGACGGCGACGACGACGACGACGACGACGACGACGACGACGGCGACGACGAGCGAAAGCGAGAGCGAGAGAGAACGACAGCAGGGCCACGAAGGGCATGAAGTAGGCCACGAAGGGCGACAGCGGGGACACGAAGGGAACGCGTATGGGGCCACGAAGAGCGCGAACGAGCGGGGGCCACGAAGTGCTGAGAATGCGGTGCCTCAGAAGGCAACTATGGGGCCACTGAGGGTAGCAACTGGGCCACGTAGGACAGTGAGGGGGACACAAATAGCGACAGCAGGGCCACGAAGGGCATGCACATGGGGCCACAACGGGCGCGACTCCTGGGTGCCTGGGTGTCGGGAGCGCGGCGCTTGGGCAAATTGCAGGAAATTCCAACGCAAGGTCATTCTTCAGCAAGTCGCAGCAAGTCTCCAGCGAGAGCGCGACTCCAGAGCGCCGGGAGAGCGATTCAGGAATAAATTGTAGGGAAGTCCCAAGCGAGAGCGCGATTCCTGAATAAAATGCGAGGAAATCTCGGGCGGGAGCGGGGGTCCTGGCTAAATTGTAAGGAAGTCTCAGGCGGGAACCGTTGTTGTTGTAACCCGGGGGCCAGGGGCCCAGTTTGAGCAGGAAGATTTTCCCTGACAAAGAACAGGGTGCGAGCGACGAGGGGCACAATTTGATTGAGAAAAGCAGTATGCACCAGTGGGGGGATCAACAATGATTATTCTTCAGACATGAGAATTCAACAACAACAACAACAACAACAACAACAACAACAACAACAACAATTACTAGCACGTGGGGACACGCCGTTCTCACCAGTGCCAGGGTTTTCATAGGAGGCGGGCAATACCCCCACTTTGTGGGGGGGCCGGTTCAAGCTCTACCAAATTTCCAAACGACTCTTCGCCACCACCCACACCCAGCTCCCCGCCCTATGACGTTCGGACACTTCACTTCGTGGCATGCGGACGACCGTGCTACTATTCAGGGCCCCGCGGCCGACGACGACGGCGTGCGCGCGCGAAGAAAAAACGAATGTGTCCCGCATGGTATTATTTGACAGGGATGATGGCCCTGGCAGGTGCGCAACCGTTGTCGCAGAAGTTCGAAAAAGTTGCTCGCAAAAGCCCGTTTGACAGAAATGGTTAAAAAGTGTTGGGTGTCCTACGAATCCGCAAGAGCGCGCGGGATGAGATTTTGACAGTTTTTTGTTGAAAAACCATTGGTTTTTTTGATGTTTTTATGTTAAAATCGCTGCGAACACTAAGGTTTTGGAAGGATTTCGTCTTGCGCGCGCGAATGTCCACTTTACCTTATTTTTTGCAAGGGATTCTTGAAATTTGATTATATTAGAACAAGAAATGTCATTTTCTATGTTTTTTGCAAGGGAAAGCGGATTACAACAAAACAACCGGATCCTGTACACACCCTCTTTTTCTGAGGCTTCCTCACGAAAATGATGAAAATGTAGCTGCGGCCTAGGCGGCGCAGGGGGGGCGCGCACCAGGGGGCCCAACAATAATTATTCTTTAGAATAAATAATGTTCAACAACAACAACAACAATTACTAGCACGTGGGGACACTCCTTTCTCACCAGTGCCAGGGTTTTCATACGACGCCCGCCAATACCCCCACTTTGTGGGGGGGCCGTTTCAAGCTCTACCACATTTCCAAACGACTCTTCGCCACCACCCACACCCAGCTTCCCGCCCTATGACGTTCGGACACTTCACTTCGTGGCATGCGGACGACAGTGGCTACTATTCAGGGCCCCGCGGCCGACGACGACGGCGTGCGCGCGCGAAGAAAAAACGAATGTGTCCCGCATGGTATTATTTGACAGGGATGATGCCCTGGCAGGTGCGCAACCGTTGTTGCAGAAGTTCGAAAAAGTTGCTCGCAAAAGCCCGTTTGACAGAAATGTTTAAAAAGTGTTGGGTTTCCTACGAATCCGCAAGAGCGCGCGGGATGAATTTTTGACAATTTTTGTTTGAAAAACCATTGTTTTTTTTATGTTTTTATGTTAAAATCGCTACGAAAACTAAGGTTTTGGAAGGATTTCGTCTTGCGCGCGCGAATGTCCACTTTACCTTGTTTTTTTGCAAGGGATTCTTGAAGTTTGGTTATGTTAGAACAAGAAATGTCCACTTTAGCTTATTTTTTGCAAGGGAAAGCGGGCCGTAACAAAACAACCGGATCCGGACCAACCCGTTTTGCCTGAGACTTCCTCACGAAAATGATGAAAATGTGGCTGCGGCCTAGGCGCGGCGGGGGGGTCGTGCACCAGGGGTCCCAACAATAATTATTCTTAAGAAGAAATAGTGTTCAACAACAACAACAACAACAGCAGCAGCAACAACAACAACACTAACACTGACACTAACAATAACAATAACAATAACAATAACAATAACATCAACAACACCAACAACAACCACAACCACAACACCAACAGCAACAACAACACCAACAACGACAGTATCGAACAACAGCACCAAGAACACCAACAACAACAACCACAACACCAACAACAACAACTACAACAACAATAGCAGCAGCAACACAACCACACCACCATCACTAACAACAACGGCAACATGAACAATCACAACAACAGCAGCAGCAACACCAACAACAACACCACCACCAACAACAGCAGCACCAACAACAACAGCAGCAGCAGCAACAACACACACACGGGCTGAGGGCGGTCAGGACGGACCTCGGTCAGGATGCACCCCGTGGCGACAAGACGCCTCCAGGAGGCCCACAAGGGACGACAAATGTTACCCATCGGCCGTTGAAAGTAGGTATTTCTGGATTCTCGGATCCCAATCTACTTTAAGCGCCTTCGTACTCCAATGACCGAGTGGTTTCATAGTTTCCGTCCTCTTTCGGGGGCGGGCGGACATCCAATCTGGTTTCAACGCCTTCCTACTTCATGTTTCTACCTACTTCTTCCGACGGATGGGTACTCCGAGTTTCTTGATACGCGTCGGGGGGGCGTCACCCCCGCCGACAGCCCCACATCGACACCCGTCGCGGGCAGCCACCAGCGCGCCGAAGGCGCTCCGACCCCCGTCGCGGCGCGACGCCTCGTCGTCGCGCCGCGAGGGAGGAGGAGGAGGAGGAGGAGGGCTGAGGGAGGAGGAGGAGGAGGGGAGGGAAGGAGGGAGGAGGAGGAGGAGGAGGGAGGAGGGAGGAGGGAGAGGGATGAGGGAGGGGGAGGAGGAGGAGGGAGGAGGGGAGGAGGGAGGAGGAGAGGAGGAGGAGGAGGAGAATGCGAAAGAGGAGGAGAGGAGAGGAGGCTGAGAGGAGGAGGAGAGGAGGAGGAGGAGGTTTGGAGAGGAGGAGGAGGAGGAGGAGGAGGAGGAGGAGGAGTAGGAGGAGGAGGAGAATAGGAGGAGGAGGAGGAGGAGGAGGAGGCAGAGGATGGAGGAGGAGGAGGAGGGGGAGGCGGCGGAGCGAGGCGGAGGTGGAGGAGGACGAGGAGTCAGAGGGGAGAGGATGAGGAGGAGGAGGAGGATGAGGAGGAGGAGAGGAGGAGGAGGAGGAGGAGGAGGAGCGGAAGGCGCAGGCGGAGGCGCAGGCGGAGAGGTGGGGAGGATGCGGAGGAGGAGGCGAGGGAGGAGGAGAGGAGGAGGAGGAAGGAGGAGGCGGAGGAGGAGGATGAGGAGGAGGAGGAGAGGAGGAGGAAGGGAGGAGGGAGGAGGGAGGAGGGAGGAGGAGAGGGAGGAGGGAGGAAGGTAGGAGGGAGGAGGAGGAGGGAGGAGGGAGGACGGAGGACTGAGGACGGAGGGCGGAGGACGGAGACGGAGGACGGAGGACGGAGGACGGAAGGACGGAGGACGGAGGACGGAGGACGGAGGAGGAGGGAGAGGAGGGGAGGAGGAGGAGGAGGAGGCGAAGGAGGAGGAGGAGGAGGAGGAGAGAGGAGGAGGCGGAGGACGACGAGGAAGAGCAGGAGGAGGCAGAGAGGGAGAGGGGAGGGAGGAGGAGAGGAGGAGGAGGATAAGGAGGCGGAGGCGGAGGCGGAGGCGGAGGCCGGAGAGGAGGAGCAGGGAGGGAGGAAGGAGAGGAGAGGAGGAGGAGGAGGTGGAGGAGGAGAGGCGGAGGCGGCGGCGGAGGCGTAGGCGGAGGAGGCGGCGGCGGAGGCGTAGGCGGAGGCGGAGGAGGCGGAGGAGGAGGCGGAGGAGGAGGAGGAGGAGGAGGAGGAGGAGGAGGAGGAGGAGGAGGAGGAGGAGCACCCCCCTTTCGCTCATTAAGAAGCCCAGAGAGTAGGGAGGGCCGCCGTGGCCTCCAAGCCGGCCCTCCTCTGAGCAGGGCGTCCTTCAGGCACGGCCTGCCCAGCCTGCTGCTCCTCGTGCTCGCGGCCGCCTCGCTGGCGTGGCTGCTGGAGCTGTCGGCTGCGCTGTCGGAGTTCGCGACCAGCTGTAGGTCGGGCGTGTCCCTCCACAGGAGGAGTATGCACAAATTGTCAAGCACATCGTATGGGCATGCTTTGTCTTCATATCATGTTTGACTATGTTTGAACATGGTTTCACTATTTTATTTAAATTTTCCCTCCGAACTCCCCCTGTAGGAGGACATGCCCGACCTAAGACCAGCTTCGCCGTGCAGACCTGGTTCTTCTCCACAGAGACGGGGAGGTCCGACCTCCTGGTGGCCCGCGGGTACATCAGAGGTGTGCGGTACCACCTGGGGACGCTGGCATGGGGGTCCCTTCTCATCCCGCTCGCGCGCTTTCCCCGAATGGCGGCGGCCTGCTGCGGTGCGTGCGAGGGTTCTCGAGGAGCAAAAAGCTGGATAAGCATCAACTCTCGGAGCTCCGCGCGGATTTGTCTTGGATCGGCGCTGGGGTCCCCCTCCCTGGCGCGCGGGCCGCGCCGGGGGCGGCTGCGGAGGCGCCGCCAGGGGGCTCCAGCACCGATCCAAGAACTCCGCACGGAGCTCCGCCAGTTTACAGCAGCAACTAATAGAAAGGATGATCGACTTCCCAAGGGTATTCTTGCATCATTTCCCTTCGGCCTTCCCTGGCCACTTTCGTTGACCGCGCCCCGCTCGAAAAGTGTCGGCATGGCCATCTAAGGCCAAGGCATCCTTATCGCGCAGCCTTACTGCGGTCGGACCGAGGTCGGAGGTTGGGGGTGAGGAACGGAGACCCCCCACCAGGAAATCGGTTTCGGTTTCGTGTCGTACGTGTGGGGGAGGTGAAGCTGCGTGGGTATGCGAGAGGAATGACTTAGTCGTCGCTAGGGCGATTCGGATGCAGTGGACCGCCCCTCCGCCCCCGGTGGGCGCGCGGTGGCCCAGGGTGTCCCGCCGTGGTATCCTGTGGTGTCTCGTTTGTGTCCAGTTGGCGTCTCGTCGGTGTTCCGTCGGCGGTGGGCGGGCGGAGATCGATAAGGAGATCGCCAGAATGGGATGGAAAATGAGATCAAAAGTGAGATCGACCGCGAGGTTGAGTGAGACATTGGTTGTGAGTTCGATCGTGAGATCGATAGAGGAAACGATAGTGAGATCGATGGAGGAAACGATAGTGAGATCGATAGTGAGATCGCAAGTAAGATCGATAGTGAGAACGAGAGTGGCATTACATCGCAGCGCAACATCGTCATCACGCGTCGTCGCCTAATTCGAGGGCGCGCTGCCAGCATCGTCATCATCACACCCATCGCATTTGCCAGTTGCTGGTTCTTTCCCCCCCCCCCCCCCCACACCACCCAACCTCCTCATCACCCGAAGAGTGGTCGCACAGCTACAGGATCGAGGTCGACTCGGGGAGGGCAGCCTGTTGTTCGTCGTGCTCGTTGGATGCTCTCGTGCACCCCGGGGAGGCTGCCCTTGGATGTTCCGTGTGCTTTGGCCCGCGGAGGGTCTCCTGTTCTCGGCGGGTGTTCTCCTGTCCTAGGGCTGGCCGTGCATCATTGATGAGCCCCGAAGTCGCTCTGTTCGTCGAATCTTCCAAAAAAGACGTAGAAAGTTCTGAGAATTACGGGCCTTCCACGTATTTGGTGGCAGGTTCGAGGGACGACACTTCTGGGGCATGACGACCCTTACTGCAGTCGACCCGCATGGCAAGGGTGGGCAACCTTCCCAAGGTACTCCAGATTTCGTAATAAAGGGAGGGGGGTCTCATTTCGGAGGGGGGGGGGGGTCTCTTCCAGGCCATCTTGGAGGGCCTGGGGGGGTCTGGGGACGATGTTTTGGAGGGTTCTCCCGCGGGGGAGGTCCGAAATGGCTTGCCTTGGAGGGTCCAGACCCCCTCCCTTGTATGTTCGAAATCTGGGGTGCCCTTGCAGCCCTGCCTCCCCGCCCCCTCCCTGGCCACCCTCGCGGAGCGCCGCGCCCCCCTCGCGGAGCGCCGCGCCCCGGGCGCCCACGGGCCCTATCTGCATCCTCCGCGCGGCGCGCCCTCTCTGTGCGTGCCATATCCGGGCGCCGGCCCCCTGCCGGCCCCGCTCCCGCACGCCCGCCGCCGCCCTGCCCCCTACAGCGGCACGCAGGATCGGGACAGAAGCGGCTCGGGGTATACCTCGAAAGCTCTGAGCATGGGCGGGCTTGGAGGGCGTATTGGGCGCCGCGGCCGCTCCAGAGCGTTCCGGAGCGCTCTGAGGGCGCTCCGGAACGCTCTGGAGCGATGCCTCCCGATGCTAGCTCCGTTTCATGCCCCCGCCCCAGGCTCGCGCGACGGCCCCTGCGTGGACCTCGGGCCCGTGGCCCTGCCCGCGCAGGCCCCCGAGGCGCAGGCCCCCGCGGCCGCGGGCCCGCCCGGCGCCCGCCCCCGGGGCGGGCTCCACCGGCTGCACCGGCGCGCCTACGTGGACACCGCCCACGGCGGCCGCGCCTTCTGCGAGGCCTCCGCGAGGGCCGCGGAGGCCGGGGGCAGCGAAGGAGGGACCGCCATCATGGGGTCCCGAGGCGCGTCGGAGGACTCGGGACGGAGCCGTTTTTTGTTCAGTCGTCGGCCTCTCTATATTGTAGGGGCCCTCGCCGGGCCCCGGGGCCGTCCAGAAACGACTCGGGAGGGAGCACTGGTCCTGGGGAGTGGGTCGAGACTTCTGGGGACCCCGTGTGGAAATGATGCTACCGAGGAGCCCCACATACTTATACTATGGCTGGAGTGATGGTAGCTGAAGTGAAGCATGTGAGAAGGATGTTGGTGGCCGTTGCCCCGCCGATACCGTTGGTGACGCCAGTCAAGAGGAGAGGAGGGAGGAGAGTGGAGAGGATAACGGCCGCGCACAAAGACCACCCCCCGCGCACCCCTTATGGTGTCGAGAAAATGCCACGCCTGCTGCGCCCTGGACGACCGGTTTGGATAGTGGCCGCGCTCAGAGACCATCACCTGCGGACCCCCTAAGGATACGAGAGTATGCCACGCCTGCTACGCGCTGGACGACCGGCTCGGATAGCGGCCCCACGACCTGCAACCCCCCCCCTGTGGCTCGAACATTGGCGCGTATAGAGACCGCGGTGCAGGACCACCCCCTGCCACCCCCTATGGTGTCCTCTGGTGCGGAACATACCACGCCTGCTAGGCCCTGCGACATTGGCGCGTATAGAGACCGCGCTGACGGACCACCCCCTGCGTACCCCTTCCGGTGTCGGGAAATCGCCAGCCCTGCGATGCCTTGCGACATTGGCGCGTATAGAGACCGCGCTGAGGGACCACCCCGTGCGCACCCCCTCGGGTGTCGAGAAAGTGCCACGCCTTCTAGGCCCTGCGACATTGGCGCGTATAGAGACCGCACTGAGGGACCACCCCGTGCGTACCCCTTCCGGTGTCGAGAAAGTGCCACGCCTGCTAAGCCCTGCGACAGTGGCGCGTATAGAGACCGCGCTGAGGGATCATCCCCTGTTCACCCGCTCCGGTGTCGGGAAAGTGGCACACCTGCTAGGCCCTGCGACACTGGCGCGTATGGAAGGTGCGCTGGGGGACTACCCCCTGCGCACCGCCTCTGGTGTCGAGAAAGTTCGAGAAAGTGCCACGCCTGCTAGGCCCTGCGACATTGGCGCGTATAGAGACCGCGCTGAGGGACCACCCCGTGCGCACCCCCTCGGGTGTCGAGAGAGTGCCACGCCTTCTAGGCCCTGCGACATTGGCGCGTATAGAGACCGCGCTGAGGGACCACCCCGTGCTCACCCCCTCTAGTGGCGAGATAGTGCCACGCTTTCTAGGCCCTGCGCATCCTACACGTGTGTTTTGTGTATGGCGTGTCATGTGTATGTGTATGATGCGTGTGCGGCCGTATCTGGCCGTGTCTCCATGTGGGTGCCCAGTATGTGGTGCATACGTCTTGGGTGTATGATGCAGTGAACACGCCAGGCGTGCACTAGCGTTGTATGGTGTATGTTGTGTGTGTGCGAGTGTGTGCATGCGTGCGGCTGCATGTAGACGCGTGTCTGATGCACGTGCCGTGCATGGGTTGCGTGTGGGTGAAGGGAGGGAGGAGGTGTAGGAGGGGAGGAACGAGGAGGGAGGGGAGGTGAGTTTGCGGGATCCGCGGGTGCGACGCGGCAGTCAAGCAGTGGCGAAGCGTCGCGGCTCGCCTATAGCCCAACCAAACAGTGTTCTAAGAACCTTTTGTGGCTTGCACGACATGTTCTTAGAACATGTATGGCGGAGTCTGTCTTGTTTAAACACATCGGGTTTCTGTTCTAAGAACATCGTTCTTGTTCTTAGAACATTTTGGGGTTCTGAGAACATTTCGTGGTAGGACTTTAGGAATGCCGGGACGGTCGGTCCCTGCTCAAGGCAGGGATGAAAGCCAGAACCCACGAAACATGTGGGGACAAAAATCACGACGGCGGATCTGTGGGGCGTGCGCGCACGGTCGGACCGAGGTGCAGGATCGAGGTCAGTTCTCGGCGGCAAGCGTGAGGGGGGGAAATGCGAAGGAGAGCGGGCCTCCGCGAGGGCAGCAGAGGCTGTGTTTTGTGCTTCGTTTTTGGAGGGAGGTACAGGAAAACAGGCAGAGCAGAACGAGAAACCGAGCGAAGACATGACGAAAAGCAAGGTCTAGGTCCAGCCCTGGACGGCACGAACGTAGGCTTTCGACGGTCCGCGCGCAGTCCTTGGCTCCGCGCTGGGGCCTCCTGGCGGCGCCTCCGGCGCCGCACCGGGCGCGCTCCGCGCGCCGGGGAGAGGGATCCAGCGCAGATCGAAGAAATCGGCGCGGACCTCCAACAGTTTATGTTTGTGTCGTCTCTTCCTCCTCTATAGAGAGAGGGACGTACACGTACGGTCGGACCGAAGTGTAAGATCGAGGTCGGTTCGGGGAGGGCACCCTGGATGTTCGTGATTGGGGGATGCTCTTGTGCATCATCCTGGGGGACCCTCGAATACTCTTCGGTTTGGCTGGCGGAGGGTCTCATGTTCTTGGAGGATGTCCTTCTGTCCTAGGTCCGGCCGTGCAGGTACATGAAGTCACGTTGTTCGACAGTGCACACTGCGAGCGTTCGTATCACGAGGCTGGTCTCGCGGACTGGGAGGCCGTGTTTATGTGCATGGCTGGGCGTGTACGTCTTCTGCGGGCTCCCTGAGAGGCGGGGTCCACTTTGATCCGGTTCGATGTCGATTCTGGCCGGCCCAGCCCGATTCGATTGCGAGATCCCGATGATCCGATGCGGCCCGATGCTTGCATGGCGCTGCTGTGCATCCTGGCGCAGCCGATCAGATTCGATATCGATTCGATGTCGATGCAGCCCAGTCCGATCTTGGAATCGATCGGGCGTGTGCATTTTTTGTTCGGCGAAGGGCCAGGGTCAGAAAATCTGAACCATCCCAGAGTATACTGTATCACCCAGCGAAGGATTATCCCGGCAAAGCAAACTAACAGCGATGTGTAGGAGCATATCTGGAAGCATTCCCCTTACGATTCAGATGGTAATCCAGTTGTAGAATCTGCTGTTCTCGCAGTCGTAGTCGCATTCGCGATGACAGTCGCAGTGGCAACGGCAGTCACAGTCACAGCCTCAGCCTCAGCCTGCCTCAGCCTCAGCCTCAGCCTGCCTCAGCCTCAGCCTGCCTCAGCCTCAGCCTCAGCCTGCAGCCTCAGCCTCAGCCTCAGCCTCAGCCTCAGCCTGCCTCAGCATCAGCCTGCCTCAGCCTCAGCCTGCCTCAGCCTCAGCCTGCTTCAGCCTCAGCCTCAGTCTGCCTTCAGCCTCGGCCTCAGCCTCAGCCTGCCTCAGCCTCAGCCTGCCTCAGCCTCAGCCTGCCTCAGCATTCAAAATGTGGCCCGGGAATGGAGTTTTGGGAACTCGAAGAACACGAAGTGGCCTACAGTTGGCTCCGGGCATTCAAAATCATGCCCAGGAATGGAGTTCTGGGAACTCGAAGAGCACGAAGTGGCCTACAGTTGGCTCCGGGCATCCAAAATGTGGCCCGGGAATGGAGCTCTGGGAAGTCGAAGAGCACGAAGTGGCCTACAGTTGGCTCCGGGCATTCAAAATGTGGCCCGGGAATGGAGTTCTGGGAGCGCCAAGAGCGATTTTGCGAGGATGTCCCAAGCGATTTGGGCTTCGGCGGCAGCCGTTCCGGGTCCCGCCCAGACCCCCTTGTGGAGTCATCTGCTGCTCTCTTTTGGGACCACTAGAAACCTGTCAGCAAAAGCTGTTAGGTAAAAAACGCACGAAGCCAAAAAAGGCACGGGCAACGGACGTCCGAGCAATGGCAAGTGATGCACGCCTCGATTCAACATCGTTTAACCGACCCCTTATCCCCATCCCCATCCCTGTCCAGACCCCCACCATCTCAGCACCCCAGTCGGGGATCTACCCCTCGAAATCCATAGGGAGCAGCCTACATCCCCATCTAGGGGAGTAGATTGGCCAGCGGGGCCCAGGCCACGCCCATGGGGATGGGGGTCGGATAATAAACGCGAGGCACATTTCCTGTCGATCCGACTTGCCGATTCGATGCTGACTGATCCTGCGGAGGTCATGGCGCTCGCGGGCGGCCTCGAGGGCGTCATGCTCATCTGCAAGGGCGCGGGCGTGGGAGCCATCGCGACCGCAGGCGCTGCCCTCACGTACGCCTGCTGCAGGTCCCTGCCGATGTACAGCGGGCCGGAGCGCGCGGAGTACGTCCAGGACCCCATGTTCCTGGCCACGGCCTCCGCGGTGGCCAGCTTCGTTCTCGCCCTGCCTCTCGCGGGGGTCTTCGACAAGGTGGCTGGCTCTGGAGACCCCGTTTGCGTCGGCGTAGCCCGATCGGGGTCCCGCAAAGGGTGTGTGTGTCCCAGGGTGTGTGTGAGTTCGATCGGTTTTGTATCGAACCGCCCAAAAGAGATGCCCCCAGCCGCCGGCAGCTCCCGATAGTTGCCGACAGGTGGGGCATGCGGGGGGGCATCTGTTTGCGGCAGTTCGGTGCACCAGCGGATCGAATTCATGCCCCCCTCCTGCTAATTTCTCTCGTGCTCCATCCTTCTTCCTCCCCCTTCCACCTGTCCGCTCTCGTCCTGTTTTAGGGGCTGCGCTATATGCACATGGCAGGTAAGGAAGATATACACCCAAGGGGGTACGATCGAAGACGAAGAGGGCGTATACCGAGGGTTTGGAATATAATTACGTGTTGGAAGGCATGCGAGCAGATAAGAGCGAACAGTCCTAACATGAAAAATGTTGTTGATGATGGTGTTATTGATGTTGGTTTGTTGTTGTTGTTATTGATGGTATTGTTGTTGCTGTTGCTGTTGCTGTTGTTGTGGTTGTTGTTGTTGATGTTGCTGTGGTTGTTGTTGTTGTTGTTGTTGAATTCTCATTTCTAAAGAATTAGTATTGTTGATCCTCCCCCCTCCGGGGCACAGTGTGTTTTTTCATTCAAGTGCTCCTCCCGGTGCTCGCGCCAGGCTTTTTACAAGGGAAAGCGAGGTGTCACCAAACTGGGCCCCTGGCCTCCGAGTTACAACAACAACAGCAACAACAACAACAGCAACAATCACGGCTCCCGCCCGACACCTCCTCGCAAGTTATTCGAAATACGCGCTCTCGCGCGGGACTTCCTCAGAATGCGTGCAGAAATCGCGCTCTCGCGCGGGACTTCTCTGCAATGTGTTCCAGCGTCGCGCCTTCAACCCTTAGGAATCACGCCGTCGTTTTGGCCTTTCTCGCGATTTGCTTGGGAATCGTGCTATCGCTCGAGACTTCCTCGCGATTCATGCTCACGCTTCGGCAACCCGCCTGCTCGACCTGGCTGCCCGGGCCCGCCTTCCCGACCCGCCCATCAGGATCTACCCGCCGATCTGCCCGTTTGGTTCTGCCACTTCTTTTCTGGTCCTAGCCCCTCTCCTGCTAATGTCTCTCGTGCTCCATCTTTCTCCCTCGCCCTTCCACCCGTCCTCTCTTCCCCTGTTATAGGGACTGCGCCAACTACACGCGGCAGGTTGGGAAGATAACCCCCAAGGGGGGTACGATCGAAAACGAATAGGGCGGGCACCGAGGGTTTAGGATATACATGCTGAGTGGCACGCGAGCGAGTAAGAGCGAGCAGTCTTAACATGATTGTTCTTGTTGATGGTGGTGTTGGTCTTGGTGTTGGTGTTGGTGTTGAACTCTCATTACTGAAACATAATTATTGTTGATCGCCCCCGCCCGGTGCACATTGTATTTTATCGATTGAAGTGCCCCTCCCGGGGCTCGCACCCTGTTTTTTATCAGGGAAAGTCTTGAGGGTCAAACTGTTTCGTTGGCCCCCGGTTTACAACAACAACAACGGCTCCCACCGAACGCTTCCTCACAATTGTTTTAAGAATCGCGCTCTCGCGCGGGACGTCCTCACCATTGATTCAGGAATCGCGCTCTCGCGTGGGACTTCCTCTCAATTTATTCAGACGCCGCGCCCTCGACATTCAGGAGTCACGCTCTCGCTGTGGATTCCCTCACGATTGATTTGGGAATCGAGCTGTCGCTCGAGCCTTCCTTGCGGTTCATGCAGGACGCACGTTTCAGCAACCCGCCTGCTCGAGCTGGCAGCCTGGGCCCTCCTTCCCGACCCGCCTGGTAAGGTCTACCCGCCCGATCTGCCCGTCTGGTTCTGCCGCGTGCTTTCTGCGCCTGGCCCGTGCTCCATCCGTCCTCCCTCCCCCGCGTCCTTCCTTCCATCCGTCCTCACGTCATTCCTTCCTTCCTCCCACTTCCTCTTTCCTTCCCCGTGCTCCATCTTCCTTCCTCCTTCCCCCACGTCCTTCCGTCCTTCCTCCCCTGCTTCAGGGGCTGCGCGAAATATGCGTTGCAGGTAAGGAAGACATACACCCGAGGGGGTACGGTCGAGGACGAAGAGGGCGGGCATCGAGGGTTCGGGATGTACGTGTTGAGTCGCACGCGAGCAGATAAGAGCGAGCAGTCTTAAAATGATTGTTGCTGTTGTTACTGCTGTTGTTGGGTTCCAATCCTCAAAAGGAAGTGTTGTTGATCCCCCCTCCACGGTAACAATTTTACGTTTCCAAGTCGAATGCTTTTCCCAGGAGTCACACCTTGTTTCTTCCCCAGGAAAGCGAGGTGCCACCAAACAACAGCAACAACAACAACAATCATTCTAAGACTGTTCGCCCTTATATGCTCGAGTGTCCAATAACGCGTATTTCCCAAACCCTCGATACCCGCCCTTTTCGTCTTCGATCGAACCCCTTTTTGGGGGTATACCTTTCTTCCCTGCAGGCCGGGCCCCGGCAAGCGGCGGGGCGGCCGCGGACCGTCGGCCTGGCCAGCGGCAGCGCTGATCGGCGGGGCGGCCGCGGACCGTCGACCCGACCCCAAGAGGGACAGACAGGGGACCGACCACGACGACGACGACGACGACGACGACGTCGAAGACGACGGCGACGACGTCGACGACGGCGACGACGAGCGAGAGCGAGAGCGAGAGAGAACGCCATCAGGGCCACGAAGGGCACGAAGTAGGCCACGAAGGGCGACAGCGGGGACACGAAGGGAATGCGTAGGGGCCACGAAGAGCGCGAACGAGCGGGGGCCACGAAGTGCAGATACTGCGGGGCCACAGAAGGCAACTATGGGGCCACTGAGGGTAGCAACTGGGCCGCGTAGGACAGTGAGGGGGACACAATGGCGACAGCGGGGCCACGAAGGGCATGCACATGTGGCCACAACGGGCGCGACTCCTGGGTGCCTGGGTGTCGGGAGCGCGGCGCTTGGGCAAATTGCAGGAAATTCCAACGCAAAGCCATTCTTCAGTAAGTCGCAAGCAAGTCTCCAGCGAGAGCGCGACTCCAGAGCGCCGGGAGAGCGATTCCTGAATAAATTGCAAGGAAATCCCAAGCGAGAGCGCTATTCCTGAATAGAATACGAGGAAGTCTCGAGCGGGAGCGGGGGTCCTGGCTAAATTGTAAAGAAGTCTCAAGCGGGAGCCGTTGTTGTTGTAACCCTGGGGCCAGGTGCCCAGTTTGAGCAGGAAGACTTTCCCTGCCAAAAAACAGCGTGCGAGCGTCGAGGGTCACACTTTGATGGAGAAAAACAGTATGCACCGGTGGGGGGGGGATCAACAATAATTCTTCTTCAGAAATGAGAATTCAACTACAACAACAACAACAGCAACAACAACAACAGCAACAACAACAACAACAACAACAATAACAGTAACAAGAACAAGAACAACAACGGCTCCCGCCTGATACTTCCTCACAATGTATTCCCAAATCGCGCTCTCACGCGGGACTTCCTCACCATTGATTCAGGAATCGCGCTCTCGCGTGGGACTTTCTCCCAATTTACTCAGACGCCGCGCCCTCGACACTTGGGAATCACGCTCTCGCGATTAATGCAGAACGCACGCTTCAGCAACCCGCCTGCTCGACCTGGCCGCCTGGGTCCGCCTTCCGACCCGTCCGTTAGGGTCTACCCACCCGATCTGCCCGTTTGGTTCTGCCAGTCGTTTTCTGTTCCGAGTCCCCTGCCTGTTTCGTTCTCTCGTGTTCCCTCCTCCTCCTTCCTTTGTCCCTTCCTTCCATCCATCCCCTCTTCCCCTGACTGAGGGGCTGCACGAAATGCACGTTGCAGGCAACAAAGAGATAGACCCCCAAGGGGGTACGATCGAAGACGAAGACGGCGAGTATCGAGGGTTTGGGATATACGTGCTGACTGGCACGTGAGCAGAGAAAAGCGAACAGTCTTAAACTGTTTGCAGTTGTTGATGTTGAATTTTCATGTCTATATACTCGTTATTGTTGATCAGCCCCCGTCCAAGGCACATGGCGTTTTTCAATTGAAGTGTCCTTGCCGGGTCTCCCACCATTTCTGTATCCGGAAAAATCTTGGGTCTCAGACTTGTACTGTCGCCCCCCAGTTTTCAAAAACAGCGGCTCCCGCCTGACATACACTTCCTCACAATGTATTGAAGAATCGCGCTCTCGCGTTCGACTTCCTTGCGATGTATGTAGGAATCTCGCTCTCGCGTGGGACTTCCACGCAATTTGTTTAGACGATGTGCCCTCGGCGCTCAGGAATCACGCTCTCGCTTTGGCATTTCTCACGATTTACTTGGGAACCGCGCTATCGCTCGAGAAATCCTCGCGATCCATGCAGGGCCCACGCTTCAGCAACACGCCTGCTCGACCTGGTCGCCCGGGCCTGCCTTCCCGACCCGCCCGCGATGGGTCTGCCCACCCGATCTGCCCGTCTGGTTCTACCATTTTGTTTCTGCTCCTTACCCCCATCCTGAAGATTTTTCTCTCGTTCTCCATCCTCACTCCCCCTTCCACCCGTCGTCGCTTCCCCTGTTTTAGGGGCTGCGCTATATGCACGTGGCAGGTAAGGAAGATATACCCCCAAGGGGGTTACGATCGAAGACGAAGAGGGTGGGTACCGAGGGTTTGTGATATACTTATTGGACGGCACGTGAGCAGATAGGAGCGAACAGTCTTCAAATGATTGGTGGTGTTGTTTTTGTGGTTGAGTTTTCAATTTTGAAGAATAATTATCGTTGACCCCCCTCTTTCTGGTAACCATCGTATTTTTCAATTGAAGTTCTTATCCCGGGGCTCGCACCTTGTTTCTTGTAAGGGAAAGTTTGGGGTCATCAAGCTGGGCCCCTGGCCCCCAGTTTACAACAACAGCGGCTCCCGTTTGATATTTCCCCACAACTTACTCCCAACTCGCGATCTCGCGTGGGACTTCTTCACAATTTATGCAGGAATCGCGCTCTCACGCTGGATTTC